AATGAAGTAACAGTTGAGAGGACAGTGTATTTCGGGCACAAGGAAGTTGGACTCAGACTCAAAGAGGAGCATAGTGCAAGTGAAGGATCTCCAGCTCCAACCTCTGAAAAAGGGGCAATAATGCTGGGAAAAATAGTAGCAAGATGACAAGTGACAAGATGAAAACGAAACATAGAGATGATCAATCTGACACGGTCCCTAAGAGCATTAAAGAACCCCAAAGATCTATGAAGACACAGTATGAGGAGAGAGATTCATCAAGATCCCCAAGGATGAAAGTGAAAAAATCTCCACCATCTTCAAAGACACAAGTTGAGAGAGATGATCACCCAGTCTCACCAAAGAGAATTTGTGTGTTCATTTCAAGCCCAGTTAGAGACAAAGAAGTCGGTCCAGACCCTCTCTCAGCAATAGCTGGTGGTCTGCTTTTATTAAACGACTATGGATCTTCAGAGACTAGTGAGGAGGATTAAGTAATTACATTGATCTCAAAGGACATTCATTGTACTTAGACATACCAAATGGACAATTTGCAGATACAGGGCATGAAGTGATGGACTTGTTATTATTTCTAAGTTAAAAGACTTATAGTTCGTGATACCATGATGGTATATGGTGCATATGAGGCAGTAACATTTATATTTAGTGATCATTCTTCATCTACTGAGACGGAACATTGGTTGCTGAAAAAAGGACAATTGGAATGTGCCATAAGGAGTCTTGGAGATACATACTTGATCAAGTCATCCTGTATTAGTCATGGACAGTTGAGGAATAATTTATGATGTATATAAAAAGATACTCAAAAGTGACTCAGACGTCATTATGTATTTGGGTGTATTTTGTATAGGATACTATTTTTGTATTGTGAAGAGTGTATATTACCTTCCAGGTAATTCTGATGTTTTGAACACTTTGTTCTACTGTAAATATGTTTTTTTAGTCGTTTTATATTATGTTATTGTAATATGTTGTTCTCATGAGAATCTCCAAAGGATGAGTTCCTTTTTGAGAATGATGTTGATACTTTTATATACTTTGTAAGTTTTTGCCGTGTATACATTTTTGATATGATGCTATAGACTTGTAGGTATTACGCATTATGAAACAGTTCATGATAATTCGTGAAGTTATTTTATAATGGTACATGATGTATTACAGTATAGGTATTTGCTATATACTTTTCAGTGAGGATTTGAGTAAATCCTACATTTTGAAAGGGGAGGTGTGACGATCCTGCTCGTCATTTTCTATATTTATATCATTTCTCCTTACCTGGTACCTTGATCTTGCTTGGAGTTGAGAAAATCACGTATAATTACTTTGTATTGAGCTTCAAATTTACGAAACTGTTTTGATTTTAAATTTGTTTACATTTTTCATGGAGGCCGCCATTTTGGATGGTCATGTGACTAGGAAATTATCTCATTTATATTTTTGATTTTCTGTCATATAAAGAGCACTTTTAAAGCTTAACTGGAACGTAACATGTTCTTATGATGTTATCAATCATGTATTTTGATGTTGCAAACATATTGTTATATGTTTAGACTTTGATGTATAAAAACGTTTTGTTTGAGTTTCGAGATTAACTTGTACACTCTGACATTGTGGACAGCCTTTGATAGTTTGGGAAATCAGCTGTTTTCGTAATCAAGAATCGTTTTGAAGCCTAGAGAATCACTTTGAAGTCAAAGATGTGTTTCTAAAGAAGTCCAACATGCCCGGGATGACGACAAAGCTCTTTGAAAACTGGGTGAGATATATTAGTGTATAATTTTGGTGATTTCACTGGCTGTTTACAATATTATTTAGCCGTAATAATTTTGCTGATTCTGATCTCATCTTTGGATTGTCTTTCTATTCATGTAGACGGAATATAATTTAGTCATTTACGAATAAAGATAGTAAGTTATTTTAGCAGTTTATATCTTTTTCTGTTGGATCATTGGTGATCAGAGTGTGTCATAACCAACCATTTACCTGAATTAATCTACTTTGTCCACAATTGCTTCTGTCCACAATTGCTTCTGTCCACATTTGGGTTTGTACACAGTTGTAATTTGTCCACTTTACAATTCCCAACCCCCTGAATGGAAGATACAGCCTTACCTTGAAGACACAGTTCCTTTTTAACAAGTGATGTATGGCCTGATATAGCAATTATAATATCTGTCCTTCCCAAATCTGTTTTTCACTCATACTAGGGGAAGTGCTGCCCAAATTTTCCCCTCCCCAATCTGATTTTCACTGATACTAGGGGAAGTGCTGCCCAAATTTTCCTTGAGTTTCAACTTATATTATTTACAGATTTTATATTCCCCATGCTGGCCTAATATAACTCAGACATATTTGTCCACAGCTGTCATTTGTCAACAATTGTACAATTACACTTTGTCCACACAATTGTGAAATCATATTTGTCCACAGCTGTCATTTGTCCACAATTGTACAATTACACTTTGCCCACAATTGTGAAATCACTTTTGTCCACAGTTGTCATTTGTCCACAATTGTGCAATTACTATTTGTCCACAATTGTGCAATTACACTTTGTCCACAATTGCGAAATCATACTTGTCCACAGTTGTCATTTGTCCACAATTAATCACACAGTGAGTCTTCCATAGAGCCTTATAAATGAGAACAAGACGGTAAGTGACATATTCGGGGTTTTTGGTTTAATAGAGCACGTTACCAATTCTATGATTTTTGTGGAAGCAGGACCAGAAACTTCACATTACCAGTGTGACATAGTAAGGTACTGTCATTGAAGAGATAGTCCATTGCTGGTGAATATTCAATTATTCATAAATACCTAACATATTATAGTGCTGCCCTCTTTTAGCCAAATTCAACCAACTGAATACACAATAAATTAACTTGTAGTTAAACCCAGAGTCCCATCTATTTTTAATGTAGTGATTTGACATCGGCCCTTTCAGTGATAAAACTAGGTCAGGTCATTACAATACGTATACGTCATACTGCGCCTTGTGAGAACATCCCCGTAGTGTAATTATGTCATACTAGACTCTATTTTACAATAAAACAATTTCAATACATTGTACCCTATAAGGCAACAGATCCACAAAACTGATCTACTAAAACATATTATTAAAGCAACATGTAAATGAAATGAACTTTAAACATACTCATAGTATCCCTGTAAGAATGAGTCATTTTTAGGTTTTAATTTAAATAAGTCACGTTGATCTCAGGAATATTTGTCCACGTCTCTTCTTGTAAACGCCTATTCATCCGTTACTCTAGGGCCTCGAACTGTTGTTAGAAAGGTTGTGATATACTAATTCAAGAATTTATCATTTTGAAACTTAAATATTAAAGGAATGGTATCGATATGGAGAACTGAATTCAACAATGTTTTTCTCTTAAGCCAATCATTGAAAACATTCTTTAAAAAACACGGTATTTGATGTATTGTTCACTGATTGATGTCATTTATTCACAAAAAGGAGCACGTAGGTTATCGCAAACAATTTCAAACGATTCTTACTTGAATTATGAATATTTCTGATCATGAACATGGGTGTATCTTTTAGATCCATTCAATATCTTCAAGAAAAGTATATATAATGATAATTTAGTTAATCAGACCTAAGTGATATTGAAGGGGCAATGGACCAATCAACATACTTTTTCAAAAATATTGACTTAATTTTCACCAAAAAATGCAACCTATTATTATATTGTTGAATGCATAATTAGAATGTGCTTTAAGACATGATCGATTTCCTAAAAGGAAAATTTGATTGCTCCAGGGACTTTAGAGATATTCAATTTGGATGACCGAAATGAACTGAAACCAATGGATAACATCAGATTTTTCAATGGAGAAATAACATGGGGAACACTTATCTTAATGCAATTAAGTTTTTCTTTCAAGAACTATTTGATACATCAAAATAAAGAATAGTAATGCATTAAACATTGTAAAAAATGATTGCATTTTTGGTGAAAATGGGGTCAACATCTTTGAAAAAGTGTGTTGGTTAATTGCTAGTTAAATATCTCCTAGTTTGTTTGAATTCATTATTACTGTGCATAATTTTCTTTGAGATAATTAATTGATCTAAAAGATAAACTTGTCTTCATTGTCAGAAAATAGTCATAATCCAAGATATAACCTTCTGATATTGTTTGCGATAACCCACGTACTCCTTTCGTTTGTACAATTACAATATTGAGAGACCTAAACATGTTGTGTTTATATCGTTTTGTTCCAATGAGGTTAGGAAAGATGTTTCATTTCTCACTCTGGAAACATGATCTCAAGAACAAAACAAGTGGTTGATGTGTTTTCTAAAACAATATAGATAAAAGTATATACATTTTTTCAAATTATATTGTTACCATTCAAAAGATGACCATTAAATTGACACTGTTTAAAGGGTGACGCATATCGTTTAGCAAATCGAACGCTCGTTTCTGGTGTTGCTCACAGTTTAGTATAAAGACCCGATCCCGGAATAATACTCAAGGGTTCACAGGCTCGAGGTCGTTGTGTCAACACCTCTAACTGTTATATAGCATAAGTATATTATAGATCGTCACACATTTATAAAAGGGCGATTTTTATTTTGACAAATCAATTCCACATTTATGGGTGAAGTTTCAGGATTTTCTATTTGTGTATAATAAGGAAAAATTGACATCTAAATTTCCCCATAACGTAATAGCACACAGCTTGGCATATGAAATATCCTACAAATGAAACAAAGCAGTTCTAATACAAGGATTTATATTGGCTGTTGTACATATTCTTTGAACGCAATCACTCTATGGATAATGTTTTCAAAATCATTATTAACGGATTACTTTATCTCAAAGACAGTTTAAACTGGATTTTACAGAACTCCCCTTATTTCTTAAAAATGGACTGATCCAGGAGCCCCCATATTGTTTTTATACGGGAAGCTTATCGGAACCCTTTAAAATTTTCAGAATTTTTTGATTACTGATTTTAGAGAAACGTGTGTTCAAAAAGTTCTCCATATCAATACCATTCCTTTCCACGAATTTGCCGAAAGTGATGTTTTTTCGTAGAGCATTTCATTAACTAAATATTGACACGTCCAACTTTATTTAACCACTACAGATGAGGATCGAGATTTGTTGATCCTGGGAGAAGGAAGTTATGCCTTTTCAAAATACCCAATTCGTAGAAAATCACTAGTAAACAAACTGTTTTCTAAAAAACACGTCTACGCCCCAGGTTATATAAATGATCATTTCACCTAATAACTCATTCGTTTCCTTGTTAGAGGGAGTAGATGCAGGGCTCGGACTGGATTCCTATCGAGGTTAGTTGAAATAAATGTTCAGGAATTATATCTTGGTGAATTAAATATAATCATACTATTAGTGTGTCATGAATGTAATGGCTCAAGTGTATTTTTTTTAGGTTTAGTGACGACAAAATGGTATGCCGTAATATTTGCTTCGTTGCGTTAGTGATAATTGGTGTTACATACCAATGCGAAGGGTGGTTTTTCAGGAAGAGAAGATATTACGATGTTTCTGCGAGTGGCAGGTTTACATGTGGCGGAACGCCCATAGCGGACGCCCGTGTTTACATCAAAGATAGAGAATTGGTTGGCATTTACGGAAAAACCATCGCTTCAGGTTAGAATCAGTATGGTTTGTTTTAAAAACAGTAAATCTAGTAAACAAAACAGTTAAAATGTAAACATTTAAAAATTGCATATTTTAACTTTTTGACCTCATTGAACTGGGGCTTTGAAAAATGTGAATTCAACACTACGCAAATAAATGAACAAATTGTTTGGAATCTTCTGTGTCAAAACACCTATTTTACTTCTGTAAAATGTCATTCAATGTTAATACCTTTCTAATAAAGTGCTTATTATGATCAAACCGTTGGCATCGGGTAATCGGGGGGGGGGGGGTGATTAGGGGAGTGAACCTGAATCGATGCACTTTCTCCTTGAAATATTTGACAGTATTTTGGGATCTATGGCTTTGAGTCCCATCTTGTTGTAAAAAGTAATGATCAAACTATGAGATCAGGAATTAGTCGTCTGTGTAGGACATATTGATTCATCCTTCCAAAACCACAGATCACCCAATGTGTACCTTAAACCTCTTACATCTATTCAGGACAGAATTGTTGATAAGTGGAATTCATTATTTCAAAAGCATTTCAATCAATTTATGCCGAGATTGAGGGTTGTAATTGATCAAAACGTTGGACATATTGAACATCTGTCTATGTTGACAAACCGTTTTGAAACGAAAATGATGTCATTTTTATATGGACGCTGGTTGCATTATTATAAATTTGAACCTATTAGATATACCAGATTGAAAATAATTAAATCCCCTGTCCACTGGTATGTAATATGATATTTTCATCAATAAAATTAAGATTTATTTTTGAAATCGAATGTCCAATTTTTGGACCACCTTGTACTTTACACGTTTCTACCCCTTGTGCTATATAAATAATATAAACTATAAACTATATTAAACCTAAAATAAACTATCAGTGTCCGTTTTTGGCCATCCTGGAAATGATTTTCTTCTTACTGTTCAATGTACCAGCATATTGTACTTAAAAAGTCAATGCGGTTGTTTCATTTTTGGGGGAAGTAATCTTGATTACTCAGTAAATAAGAGTCTCTCAAAAAAGCGTATTGTAATATCCACTACCGCTATCCACTCAAGCGCCCCACTCAACAAATACAATATTTAGCAATATAACTAATCAAATAGTGCTGGTTTTAGGAACAGTGCTTTTTAACGTGTATTAGCTTTTCGGCACTATGTTTTTCGTTACATGGTTATTCGGTTAAACGTGCGGGCACTCGGAAGATTAACCATGATTTTAATGCAGATACCGCAACAATGACGTTACGAAGATCCCAGCTGGTGTAATCGCCAAATTCTGTACACGTTTTATTTCAGGATGGACTGATGCAAACGGAGGATTTTCCCTGTCTGGTCGAGGTAGAGATGTATTTGATGGGAAGCCGGATGTGTATGTTCAGTTAGACTACAATTATCAAGGTAAGCGTCTGGTATAAAATGTATCATTGATTACCAGGATTTTTGCTCACTTGGATTTACAGGGCGACAAAATTCAGAGAGTATTCACCATCCTTGACGTTTTTTCGACACGTGTGTAAATTTAATACGCGTCGTAGTTGGTCATGCGTAACACTGCCCTAAACTTTGTAAGAAAGGGTTCAGTTTTCCTTTGCCGCTCTGTGTTTAAAACCGTGTGTGTCAATTTTATTCAGGATAGCTTTATTGTTTTATCAAAATGCATTTCTACCCCAGTAACTCTTTAAATGCTATTTTTAGACAAAATGATGGTAAAGGATCGGATTTCCTCTACCCGTCGCTACAAATCTAGCTGGAAGAAGAATTTTAGCGGAGCGTTCAACATTGGTACCGTGAATTTAAACGATGAGCATTGCAAGGCTTACAACCATTTTAGGAATGCTGTTCGGGATTTCATCAGTCGGGCTGGGCGACCCCTACCACGCAGTAGCGTTTATGTTGTGACGAACGCCTTGATCCATGGCGGTACGCCTTGGGCTATGACGCAAAGAATTCGAATTCCAAGTGGGTACAGTCTGACTGGCAACACCGCAAAGCACGAATTGGCGCATATTGCACGGCATACGTTGGATGGCTCTGCCGCACATTTCTTGGTCGACGTGGCTAGGTATGATATTAATATTCATTAATATTAGATGTATATGAATCCTAATCTTTCCTTTCTTAAATGTATTATAACATGTAAACAGTATGTAGAGTCTCTGTAACCAAAAGTTAACTTACTTGGAATATTAAAATTATCATCATCTTTCCCTATAGATACGGGTATGCTCGTAACCATAACTTGTATATGTCGACAAACGAAGGATTCGCTTTCAATGAGGGCTGGGCAGAATACTGGGCAGGCGATTGCAGTTACACCTCAGGAGACGGAACGGACATGAAGATTGAAGGCAACGTAGCGGCGGCGCTTTGTAAACTTGCCAAATGCAAAGGACATCCAGCGATGTGGAAAACTCTTGAAGCAAATAGAGGTCGCATCCACAGTTACAACGATTTCGTACAAAGGATGGGAAACTGTTAGATACAGTTACATGTTCGATAATTGTATAGATTGATAAAACTATGACTTACCTATAATTGATACATGGCTGTACGTGTAGCCATCCTATTTGTTTGGAAGAACGAGATCTACAATTTCTGAACAACTGTACATCTCTCGAGGTTAAAATGATGTTTCCCAATGTGTGTCTATTCTATAGTGTAACCAGGATGGGGCAGACGCCCTCGTATTTTAATAGTATTTTATAAGTATGATTTCCGATGATTGGTTTACATTCATATTTCTGACAGAGTACATAGCCGCCATTTTGGAATCTGAATAATGAAAATGTTGTAGCGTAGCCGATTCAGGATGGGGCAAACAAGTTTTTTGCTTTTTAACTGGTTTGGCAATATTTTCCGCCTCGTCTCTTTTTTCCCGGTTATTTGTAAATAATTTGCAGGAACAGCACGAGATCCGGGAATGGAGTTATAAAAAAGTTTAGAATCAGACACGTTTCTTCTCATTTACATAAAAGCAATACACAATAACGCAATGATAACTAAATATTGATGCATCTAGTACGCTTTTATTTTTTATATGCTACAGTATGTATCTACACATGTATGAATTTAATTGAATATATCGATGAATATAGGCATGGGTCTACTAACATATGTTTCTCCTGTTTTTGTTTATGAGTAATTGATTTAATTTGGTATACAAGTATAGTACCAACAAAAAGTTCCAAAAAGCAAGCTAAACGTCCTGTTTTAGCAATTTACGTAATTAACCTGGAAGATAGACCCAGAAACCCCTCCTTAAAGGAGCCCTAAGTTATTTTATGTGCACTCATACATAGACATACAAGTACACACCACCATGCAAACGAGCGAATTAAATATTTCCTGAACCGGGGATTGAATCCGGGACCTTTTGCGTAAGAGGTACCCACGCTAGTACAGCTGGGCTATATGGGAGAACTATTGGATAGCATTGCTAGGAACCGCGTAAAACGGATTTTTGAACGATATAAATCACCTCAGACGCGACAACCAACGACTACAAATTACCAGGCTCAATTAGTAAAAAAATGGAAACGGGAACAGTTTGCTCAATGATAACCTTGTGGAACCGTCTTCCTAGAGACCATAAGGAAACGAACAGCTTCTCACTTTTCAAAAAAAACTAAACGATCATCTCACTAATAACATGGATCCTACTATTTCAACCTCCTACATACAGAATCTTGATAGAAAAGACGAAATTATACTACATAAGATAAGAGTAAATATTTTAAATCCGATCTTTTTGACCATAATTTCTCTTTCATTAACGATCCATATTGTGACTGTGGAGCTCGAGAGACAGCACAACATTAAACACAATTAAACAATCGATAACAGTAATTCAATTTCAGGGCACCAACAGGGGTATGGTACAGACAGGTAGTAAAACAGGTTGTATTTAAATGTTATATATTTTTTATACTAACTATGAATATGACTCAATATAATTATATTGTATTTAAATTCACTTAAAGCGGCAGTAGAAATGCCCTTTATGGGCGATTACGCCGTGATTAACAATGTATATCTTATTTAATGATTTAAAGAAATAAATGAGTATTTATGAAAAAAATTGCTAGGAACCAGGAAGTTAGAATAGGGGTTCTGAAACAGGACTTAAAGCTTACCTAAGGCCTTTTTAAATTTTTGTTTAGTACTAATAAAATAATAGTCGAATACCAAACACGGCTTGGTTCATAAAGTATCAGACAAGATCCACATCGCATGCGTACTGAGCGTTTTCTCGAAGTAACGTCAATATGGGTGTAACAGTCGGTATGAACTTCAGTAACCAAAAAAATTCCATTTAAAATGTTGTCAATTTATAGCCATATCAAACAGATGAATATGATCCGAGACCTGTTTCGATATTGTAAAAATATACCAGGGTCATGATGACACAGGAACTTAACAAACATTGCACCTACCGGTAGTTGAATCATTAAAACATTCAAAAACGGACTCGCCGGATAGTCTTTCGAAATTCGCCATTTTGACTTAGATTTTGAATCATATTGCAGCATTAAACCGAATCCACTTTTTGGCGGACACTCCAGATTACGTTGTTAGGCTTGAGAGAAAAAGGTATAGATGATGCTTTGGCTGCATACTGACTGTTTATGGAAGTAGAAGTGATGTACGTTGTATTATCCTATGCCAAGTAGAGTTTTGGGGAGATAAGTTGGTAAGATATATCCCGTATCCTGATTTTGAGGTTTCCATATCCTGAACCTCCATATCTCCCGCTCCAGGGCATATCTTCCCGCTTCGAATTTTTTTTTTAGAATTGAAAAAAAGAAAAATGTTAAAAAAATGTTAAAAATGAAAATTTGAAAAAATCGAAAAAAATTAGAAAAATGTGAAAAAATTGAAAAAATAAAAAAAAATTGGGAAAAAAATCGAAAGAAAATTAGAAAACTCTACTTGGTATAGGATAAAGCAGTTATGTACGGTCGGTTTGGATATTAGGTTCATCCCTCGTGAGATATGCACATCTACCTTCGGTCCCTACGGTCCCTCAGGTAGATATGCATATCTCCCTCTGGATAAACCCCATATCCAAAACCTCCCAGTACATAACCCTTATTTATTTTGATAGATGGCGCTTACATCGTAATTATATATCACCTATAGATGTTCAATATCATGTATGAAAAGTGCAAATGGGAAACTACCAAAGTGATTACAGAACAGCAATCTAAGAGTACAACAATCATCAGAAAACGAAAATGATAGTTCTGTCAATAGAAAGATTTCGCTCACAACTTAAACTTCAGATAACGGTCACTCAGATGTAAAGATTCCACTTGAATATATTTAAAATACATAATACGTATTCATTTTGTATTGATATTATCTAACATTTATTTATTGCTTTCTGTGTAACAAATGAACCAAGCCTGGCTAAAGTATCCAAGCGTGATTTCATACAATACATATGTATTAGCAGAGACATATAGAACATGTTTATATGTGTGTGGTATAAGAAACCGCATGTTTACTGGCTAGAAAACATAATCTCAAACGTTTAGCTAGATAGATAGACAAAGCTAGCATTCGCGAATTCAACTGCCAGCTGTCATCTGACGACTTGACCACGCTTTGATTGCTATTTTGAGACAAACATATATGAATAGTGCCTGCTACTATCCACATTCATGTTAAAATGAGTCAGCCGACAGCCAGCAGTTGAATTTTTGAATGCAAGCTTAAAGATTCTCGCAATCTTTATCCAATCAGCGTTTGCGAGTGTGTCGGCTCACGTATAAAAGGCGAATCCAACTCAAATCCATGCAGGGGTGTATGAGGTACTCGAATAGGAAAGAGCTCGTGAAATCTGAATTTATATGCACATTGTCAATGTTTACACATGTTTGGAGTTATTGAAGAAAATGTGATATGGGGGTGGTTCCGAATTTGAAGTCATTGCTGGAAAATATGATTTTAATATGTGAAATTATATCTATAAATACAGCACTAAAAATAACAGTACACATGAAGTACATGTATGATTGTGTTCAGAAATGTTTGAAACCCTTACGGAAAATTCTGTCTGCATTTTGTCACCATTGCTCTTTCTTCCCGCATTCTAGTGCTGTTTGCATGAATATATTAATTAATGTATTTCTAACTAAAATATATCACATTTTTTTAGAAACCACAAACATTTAGATCATAAAAGAATTATTCAATACTTGAGTGAGCACGATATGCAAGGGTTACTAAGTTGACACAGTAAATGACCACTGATATTGTGTTAGTCCATGCACACAGCGTACACCCCTCACTTTCATAGTGAAGTGACTAATTGGTTTATGTTTACGTTTTAATGTGTTTTGGGTTCCTTGTTACAGCAAGGGGGGCCAGTAAAGTAGACTAACATGTTTGCATGGCAAATTTTGATCAAATATGTGAGACACTTTAATAAGGTTTTGAGTTGATGTAAAGATATGATATTTCTCAAAGCTACAAAAGGAGTAAAAATGCGTTTACTATTATTTAAAAGCGACTTGCTAGGAAGCAGAGAACCTGTACTGCTTAATAATTCATAAATAATACATGACATACATGTACGTTTTTATATGTTAATTGCGTAAAAGAACGAAAGATCTGACATATTCAAGAAGTAAACATATACATGTGGTCTCAAAAGCATTTCGTTCGGCACATAACACTGAACGAAATCCTCTCATAAAAACTCTCATGAAAATTATGACCTTATATTATGAAAGTATCAAAAATGAATTCAATAATTATACATAGATGCACCTGCATTATAGTGTAAATAAATATTGTTTCGCATAAATTTATAACTTATAAATGTATAACTTATTATTCATTTATATCTGTAATCTCATTAATGAAAAGAAATTAGCAGTTCTCTGTTAACCAATCAAATTACAGATATAAAAGCTACATGAATGTAATACAAGTCAACGTTTAGTATTGTGATAATTCTCTCTTATATTTCTTTACTAAGACATCGATCTATAACAGCTAGCCAGCTAGCTAAATAAATAGAAGGTTATACACTGTAACATTTTAACACATCATGATGAATAATAAGTAATAAGTGACCAAATCTATTTGCAAATTGTTCAAACTACCTCATTCCTACTTATCACTCCATGTATATTCTTTAACAAAATGCAGGTTTCAAAACGTATATTGCTTATTTTCATAACATACAACTATAACAGTGTTTTACAATATTCATATTATTTACTCTTTGAAGCCTCATCAAAGCCTAGAGAGTTAATACTACACATGATAACATTTACATATTCCTTAATTACCATATTCTGCATGAATGGCCTAGCCCATCTGAGTATTAGTTTGAGAGTGGACACAACTAGTATTGTGACATCACAATACATGAAATTAATATAAAACAAACATGCTCGTAAAAACATGATTACTTGTCAACAGTTTCAGGAGAAAATCTTAAGATTTATGTCTATATCTGTATCTATATAAATCGATCTAGATCTATATAAAATTTCTAACAATTTCAATGACTATGTTTCTTTTAAAAACAGAACTATTAATTTCACCATATAAGTACAATGAATACATTGCATACATGAGATCCAATGAAATTGCAGATTATAACCATTATATTCACAACAGACATTTAGTATTAAACCGTCAACCATTATATTCACTCTAATTAATATTTCATCTCAGCTGCTCAAATAACACTGCTTTCTACAATACGTTGTAACATTGCTTTACTTTGTAACAAAGCTTTGTAGCATTATTTTGTAAACTGCTTTGTAAAATTGCGTTTTAACAGTTTATAATGTTGGTTTGTTTTGTACCACTATATATGTACTTTAACACAGCTTTATGACAACAATGTTGCCTACTAAGATAATTCCAATTTATAGCATATATATATTAATTTGGCTTCGGTGGAATATTCCTTCTTGGTGCAGGAGGTGGAGGAGCAGGTCTGGTTGGAAGAGGGGGTCTCTGCGCAGACCCCTTGTGCTCAACACTTATAATGCTGCCTTCGTGTAATGCATCAAATGACCCATTTCCTGGGGGAGGAGGGGGT